ATAATTTTAATAGGAAAAAAAAACAAAATAATAATTATAATAATTAATAAATTTGTGAGTGGATAATAATATATTTTGGCAACAAATGTGAAGTAGAAAATAATTTTCTAATTTAAAAAATTTGTGTTTCTGATCAATTGACAAGAGAAAAAAGAAAAAAAAATATAAAAAAAAGTATATATATTTGTTAATTAACGAGTAAATTAAAACTTTAAAAAATAAATGACAGAAAACAAGCCCAAAAAAAAAAAAAAAATTATGTACCTGAGATTTGAAGTAAATATTAACTTTAAGAGGGTTGGAATTAGATGGTGTCTTCCGAGAATGCCCTCCTTTGCCACTTTGAGCTGCTGAAGCCATTGATGAGATGAGAGAACAGAGTAGTGGTGTGCTGGTGGAATGGAAGATGAGAGAGTTACAATCAAAAAACATACAAGAAGGCTCATATATATTTACCCACAGGCAAATTAAGTGGTCAAACCACAAAAAAGGGAAAAAAAATAAATATGTGAAATATGCAATGTTTTCCTTTTTTTGTCAACCTATTTTAAATATGTGAAAAGAACATCAAAAAACATACAAAAACCATTTTTTTTTTTATATATATTAGGTAAAAATGCTCCCGTACCCACGGTAGGCACATGTTAATATGTCCACCGCGTAGGTAACATGCACTCATTGGTGAGTATGTGTAAAAAAATGCATCATCAATGAGTGTGTGCCACCTACGCGATGGACATATTAACATGTGCGCACCGTGGATAGGTGAACATTTCTCATATATTAGGTCGGTTTAACAGTTAGATAGATTGATTCGTCGAACAGCTTTACTGAAAAATGTAATGTATATTGAAAATATACGACTATCTACGTGGTTAAGATTAAATTTTACTATTTAAATAATGCGGACCACACTAACACATACAAAAACGTATATACTTATTTTAAGAAAAATGTTATATTATATATTTATATATATATAATATTTGAGTCCGAATGTACGTAAACATGTTGAAAACGTGTAACTATCTATCATTATGGTAAACCATACCCCTTTCGAATGTTATAATGATCTAGTGTGAAGAGTGCTAACTAAACCACTCTCTTCCAAAACTCAACCTCGATGCACGTAAAATAAAATGCATTTCTGGCCATTTTCTTCATGTTATATAAAAATTCGGTGATATCAACGTTTAGGATTTATTGATCATCTGACTTTCGTTTTGTCATAATTACGACATAATGGATGGTTCATGACAAATGTCTTTTTTTTATACGTAAATACTTAGGTGCGCCCTGACACATTTAGCATTGTGTCTCCAATGTTTTTTTAAAATGAACATGTTACGTTATAAAATAAACATGTGTAAATATGTTTGCACATGTTCATTTTATAACATAACATGTTCATTTTAAATTGTCTTGACACACCTTGTTAAGTGTGCTCGGGTGCACGATAGTAGCACTGTTTTTTATCACCTTGGAACTATAATTATTTTGAATGTCAATCATGAAAGCGACTTCTTTGAGGACTACTCCCATATATACTACAGTGGCGCGGTTTTCTAGCCACTTGAAAAATGAAATATGGTCATTTTTTGTAAAATAATGAAAAGCCATTTGGACTTAAAAGTACAAAAGTATCCTTACTTATTATTTACCTACCAAAGATATTAAATAAAAAATTATCTGGACCAAAAATCATCTCCAACACCATCAAGTGAATCCCTTTTTGAGAGGAAAAAGGTACATTGACCTAAACCTAATTTTTTTTATTATGTTAAATAAAAAGAATTCGAAAAAGATTTTTATTTTTGTTCCCAACATTATTGATTTGTGTTGCACCATTTTTTTTTTGAAATAATATTTATTTAGAGCTAAAAAAATCGATTTTTTGTGCTTGAAAAGGAGGGGTCGTGTGTTAGAGTTTATTATTTTTGTTGTACAGTTTCTTGAGCCGTTTATTTGGAGTTTTAGGAGTTGAAGAATCGTTTATTGAAGAATAAACAATTAATTGAACAAAAAACGGTTGCTTGACCAAGAAACTGGTTTCTTGAGCAAGAAACTCATTTCTTGAGGAAGAAACAGGTTTCTTGAGCATCAAACGAATTTCTTGAACAAGATGTAACATATTTCTTGCTCAATTAATTTTGTTCGTAAGAAACTATTTATGAATTTTTTATTAAGATTTTTTTTTTATTTAATTTTTCAAATAGACGTTGGTAAAGTGAAAATTGTACACAGGGGTTTTTGGGATGGGAATGTGTACAAAAATGGTGAGACAGAAATGAATTTTTTATGTCTTAGGACGTTATAATACGAAACTTTCATTAATAGAGTTCATGACATTGTTTGTGGAGATAGAAACATGTGCGACTATCGATTTCACTTTTTAGTGGTCGGTGATAACAGAGAGGTGGAGAAATGGCGCTTCTCTTGTGAATCAGATATGCGAAATGTGTCTGCCATGTTCACAATTCCTACCATCTATGTTACATTACAACCGAAACATAGTCCAGGTCCGTATACTCAGGCGAGTGTACCAACGTACCCTTCGTATGGCTATCCAGGTGGGTTTATGAATTTATTTGCTGCTTAGGGTCCCACCTCTCTATCCATATGGTATTGTGTATCCACATATAATGAGTCAACCATCAACATCTCATCCGGCGAACAACGACAACCTGGTGCCTGACACCTCTAGAAGGGTGGAATCAAATCAACCCGGTGTCTCACGACATTCTCCCGAACATGTCGATTTGGGTGTGGATAGCGGGTTCAATGGGTATTCAACTGGGAATGATGAAGGTGATGGTGAAGGTCATGATGATGAAGGAGGTGATGATGAAGTTGATGATGAAGGTGATGATAACGAGCAATTTTGTGATGTTACAATAATGAGACGAACATGAACGATAATCCTTGCAATGATGATCTCCTAAATGAGATGGATGATAACATTGATGATTTGGACTTCATAACTGAAGAAGATGAAGATGGCGACGACAATGTTGTGTCCCCCTCAAACATGATGGGTGGTTCAAATATGCATATTCTACGCACAAGAAGAGTATAGCGATCCACAATGTTCCCCGGCTTGACCTTTCTGGAGGGGTTGCTATTGAAGAGGACGATTTTAATGAAATCAATATTCGTTCGAGTAGCGGTTGGAGGATTCCCGAAGCCAATTTTCACAATGTTGATGTTCATCCCTCGTATGAAAAGCTGTCAATGATAGACCGTGAATTAGCCAAAGGCGTTGTCATTGAAAGTAAGGAAGAGTTGATTGTAAAAGTGGGTTTATACCATTTGAAGCATAAAGTGAAGTACCGAACACCGAGATCTTTAAATTCTCGGTTAAAGGTTGTGTGCAAGCATAAAAATTGCCCATTCTTACTTTCTGTGAATGCACTGACTGGAGGTAGTTGGAAAATTTCAAAATTTATCCATCCACATACATGCTCAGTTAACCTAAATCATTCAGCCCCTCGACAATTGCCTACAAAGATCATTGGAGCATTATTCGCGCCGAAGTTGTTGACAGAGGGCCGAGTATTGAAGCCTGCATAGATTATGGGTGACATGGAGCGTGATCATGACATTAAGCTAAAATACGATACAACTATGAGGTCTCTAAACGCCACCTACGACTTAATTTATGGAGATCACAAGAAATCCTGGGAACTTTTGCCGGCATATTTTCATATGTCGATGAAGTAAAATCCTGGAACATCAGCATACACTGAGACCGATAAAGATGACGTGTTTTAGTATGCATTCATTTCTTTTCATGCGTCTGTAGGCTTCCTCAATTATTGTCGGCCCGTGATTGTAATTGACGGTACTCATTTGAAAGGTAAGTATAAAGACATCCTATTTGTAGCAGCTACAAAGGACGGAAATGAATAAATTTTTCCTTCGGCATTTGGTATCGGCGATAAAGAATGTCATAATGCTTAGATGTGGTTTCTCCAAAAGCTTCGGTCCACTTTTGGATGTCCGGAAAATTTAGTGAATTTTTTTGATCGCCACGCGGGCATAAAGTCTGCCATTGAGGTCGTGTACCCTGAAGCTGTACATGCCGTATGTTCGTACCACGTACGACAAAATATTCGAAGTCACGGTAGTAAAGTTGTTGGTTTATTTATGAAAGCTTCATACACTTATTCCCCTATAGTGTACGAAAAGTCGATGGCTATGCATGGGGCAAAACATCATAAAACATGGGAGGATTTGATTGAAGCCATTCTAACTAGGTGGGCACGAAGTCAATGTCCAGTGAGATGATATAGTTTCATGACGTCAAATACTTGCGAAGTGTTGAACAATAGGTTGCGTTGGGCAAGGAAATTGCCAGTTTGCTCATTGTTTGAATGTATTCGAAACATCATGCAAGAGTGGTTTAACACCAGACGTGTCGAGGCAGAAAACAGAGAGTGTGATGTTCCTCCTTCAATATCTAATCGTTTAATGGATTATAAAACAGAAGCGGGCCAAATGGAAGCTTCCAATACAATCAGTACATTTACTAGGTGAAAGACGAGGTCAAAAATTTTCTCGTGAATTTGAAGGGACGGACTTGCACTTGCTATCTCTTTCAGATCGATTTATTGCCCTGTTCACATGCGATTAAGGCTATCGAGTAAAATTTTATTTTTCAAAATTAATTAAAAGCCTCAAAGTTTAGTTTACTTATTGTTATCTTACACATTAGAAATTGTTATATTGTGTTCTATTTGTTGTATTCTATGTATGTACTATTTATTGGACGGAAAACGAATTGGTTTTTGGATATGTGCACGACTACTACAAGACCACAACATGGCAGAAACATTACGAGCCTATAATCATGCCAATTGCGCATCCAAGGACTTGGGACTTAATTGTCGCGACTAGTTTGATGGTTGTCAAATCTCTTTCTAATCCCAAGCAAGACGGAAGACCGAGGTCAAACCGCATACCTTCCACTGGCTCTTCTTCCAGCTCTCGAAGTAAATCATTTTGTACACGATGCCGCAAAAATGGGCATTACTCTGCAACTTGTGATACGATTGTCCATAATGTTGAGCAACCAACCCAATATGGAGGACCAGGTACCAAAATCCATTTGGATGATAAATGTAGGCAACCCGGCCACCGTAGGAACAAGTGTCATAAAAACATTACCTAGCTATTTTTTCTAGTTTTATTTCTGGTTTTCTGTGTGACAAGACATAATTGGGTTGTTATTTGTAAGATTAATTTGTGTAATAACTTTGTGAGACATATTGATGTGTGTAGTTTTGTTATGTTTTTTGTAGTTATTTTAAAGATGAATGAAAATTGAAGTGAAGTGTGTGAAGTCCCAAAAATTTGAATGA